GCTGAACACCAGCGGCTTGATGACAATGGAAGAGGTCAGGGTGTGCGGGGTCGTGGAGGGCCCAGGGTCTGGCTGATTATCTCAGCTGTGGTTTCACAACTCCAGAGAACTTTCTGGCTTTGTCAGCTCACAGGGCGGGCTCCGAGGAGGTTCCTTTAGGTGGACACAGGGACCTCAACTCAGCCACCTGTGCAATCAATACATTGTAGGTTCGTAGCTGCCCACTTCCCAGCCTCCTGGAGGATGGGTGTCGGGGGGCAGTGGGGACCCCGCCGCAGGCGAGTTGGGCGTCCTCAGGAGTGAGTGTTCTGGCAGGGAACAAGGCCTTGTGACCTCGGTTAACTTTGTGTCCTGCAGCTGCAGTGTTTCAATGCAATTTTAAAATTATGTTTTTTTCTACCTTTGTTCTACTATCTTTGTGTTAAAGCCCTACCTCGTTTTGAGGGGGCAGTGTAGTTGGCACAGGGCAGTTCTTCCTGTGTGGGGACAGCCCCCGTTGCGTGAGGGTTCTGTGCTCCAGGGTGTGTGCGGGTTGAGGGGCTGGAAGTTGGTGCTTAAGTGTTCCTGTGCACCTCGCATCGCTGTGTCCCAGGTCTCAAAGGGCGACGAGGTGGGTCATATAAATTTAGGGCTAACAAATCTGGTGTTATCAGATTTTAGGCAGAGATCCCTGAAGTGATTAGTATGCCTACATGCCAAACCAAGCAGAGATCTCCGAAGTCTTAAGATAACAAAGGAAAGAGAAACGGAGTGAACGGGCAGGTTTCAAGCTTCCTGCTTTTCGTTCCCTGCTAGGCCGCTGCAGGCCCAATGAATAGGCATCATTTTAGTACAATCAGTGTTAAGCCCCTAACTGTCCTGTGAGAAGGTAGAGATCGTGCTTCCATGAGGAGCAACGGGGCGAGGGCCCAGGAATTGCTCCCCTGCCCCTTGGTGGCCACGCCCGGCAGCTTGATTTGCTCACCTGGTTTAGATGGAGGTGCTGACCAGGGCACCCCAGCTTACGCACTGGTGTCCTTGTTTTTCAAGGTTGATGAGATGGACTTGGGAAGGAGGGCGCAGGGAGGTGTGCGTGACATAGTTTTGATGGGAACACGTCCCGAGTTAACCCAGGAGCACGCACCCTTCGTCCTGCGGTTCTCTGTCTTGGCACTGAGCCGGTCGCCTCCTGGTGCGCGTGATGGGGCACGTGACTGGGGGGGTGTCTCTGGAGCCTGGTGCTGTGCGGCTTTCTGCACAGGTGAGTTCCTGGTGTCTGCAGAGAGCAGATTCATCAGGGTGGTCTTGCTTTGGGTTACAGGCAGCAGCACAACGTCCAGGGGAAGGAACACGTTTGTTGTGTTCTTTGTAAAAGACTAAGATTCCAAGTAAAGCTGTTATATTTCTCAGTAGATTAAATAAACCACATTGTTTGGGAGAGATCCTGGATAAATAAAACAGATTTATTCATAACTGGTGAAAATATTCCTTGCAGTCTGAGTATGCTGGCATGGAGAAAAATTCTACCAAGTGGGGACTGAGTCCTGGCTTTGCCCCAGCAATCTGTGGAGCGGGAAGGAAGCTGCCAAGGGAGGACGGGTGGGCGCCCAGATGCTGGCTGGCAAGGGTGGAAGCTGGGTCTGTCTTCATCTGAATCGGAAGAGGGCAAAACGGGCTAGCAGCGAATGTCCATTCAAGGAGGGGCTTTGATAGCAGCTTCACGGGATTAAGATAAATCCAGTGAGTGTAGCTTTTGATCCTTATTCACCGGCGCTCAAGTAATCTTAAATTTTAGAGAAGTCGTCTCAGTGACACACTGTCAGAACTGTAACGGAAGGTGAAGGCTGGAAATGACGGTGTCCCCAGCAGTGGCTTTTCGTTATGACACAACTTCACTGCTTGTCCCTGACACTGAGAAGCCAGCGCTGAGCGAGGACAGGCCCTAAGCATGCTGGCAGGGCCCCGGGGATCCCACCGGTGCCGCTTGGTTCCTCAGGGGAGGGGACCAGGCGTTCCGAGCAGCTGCAATAGCTGCTGCGCAGGGTGAGCGGAAAGTTAAGGGAGAGCTTGCGCTGTCTGGCCAGGAGCGCCTTCAGCACCTGCAGGTGACTGCGGGGAGTTTTCCTGACAAGACGAAACTGTGAAAAGAGCGTCTGCTCAGGTGTGGACTCCTAAGTGCCGTGCCAGGGGCTTTAAATGGGAGAAAATTCAGAAGAGCGGAGAGAAAACAAAGCCGCCCCGAGTCTCGGAGAGCATCGGCTTTCTGTGCTGACTGAATTCCCTGGGTGTGTGGGAGGCGGCGTGTGTTCTGAGTGTGAGAGCGACCCTCTTGCCGTCTGGCAGAGCGAGCAGAAGGAAGGCTCCCTGGTTGTAGGAAAGCGCAGCCCAGGGAAGGGGCACACATGCAACTGTTTTTGGCCAAGAGTTAAAAAGAAAAGGAAAGCAAGCAGTGACAGTGTCCGGGGGAGCCACCGAGGAATCAAGCATTGAGGCTTCCTGTCTTCTGAGCTGCAGGAGGTGTTCGGCGGAATTTAGGGATGAGTCGGGCCAGGGAAGCGAACGCCACAGAAACAAATCCAGCCAGGCTGGCCCTCTGCTGTGGAGACCTGACTTCTGTGTCCAGAACGAGGCCCCAGCATCTCTGTCGGCCAAATAAGGCCCTGTGATGTGCCCCAGCCCCAAATGACAGCACTCTTCCCAAACACAATGTCTTCCTTCTTTTTTTAAATGACTTTGGCTTTATGAGGCTTCAGTTAGTTGCCTAACTGTAAAACCATCATACTTTTGACCTATGAAAACTTTGATCTAACAAGTAGGCATTGTGTTAAGCCACTGTGGTTCTTTGTTATTGCAGAGAAAGATAATGTACTTCTTTTTAAAATAATTTTTACTTTAATTATTATTTTTAATGTGTTTGGTGCAGGGTCTCACCATGCAGCTCGGACTCCTACTGATCCTTCTGTTGTTAGCCTCCCCAGCGCTGGGATTACAGGAGGGTGCCACCATGCCCGGACTAGGTGGCCGGCTCAGCATGCCCGGGGGCAGGGCCTGCGCTGCCTGTGGAGCTGGGGATCAAACCCTGGTCCCTGCACTCGCCTACGCAGGGGCTTAGTCTGCTGAGCTGTCTCATGGGCCTTTGTGTTTCTTTAAATCTAGAGAATCTATAGTTGTGTCCTTGATCTTATTCTCGATATTGGCAATTTTGTCTTGTCACTTTATGTACTGGTCAGGTTGGTCAGAAATTTATCAGTTTTACTACTTTTGACAAAAACCAGCTTTTGGTATTGCTTTTCCCTAATATTTTTCCATTTTCTGTTCTTTTTTCCTGGCTCCATCTTTATTATTTCCTTTATTCTGCTTATTTTGGGCTTCACTTTCTCCACTAAAAAAAACATGAAAAGACAGTTTGGTGAAATAACTACAGAAGAAGATGCTCCGATGAGGATCGGTGGAGAAATGTGACTTGCAACAGCAGCAGATGCCGTCTCGCGTGGAACCACTAAAGCAAAAGACTGTTCAAGTCCTGGTGAAAACGTGCAGGAGCTGGGATGCTCATGCCGTGCTGGCGGGATTAGAAAGTGACTGTGTAGTGCAACTTTGTAGCTGCTTAAGACGTAAATGCTTCCTACTGTTAGCCAATGCAACCATCCATTGCTGCATATTCACTGACGGGAATGGAACATGTGTATTTACAAGCGGTTACAAATGAGAGCTCACAGCATGTTTACTTTTTTTAAAAATAATTTTATTGAGAAACAACGAGACAGTTTCAAAACGAATTAGTAATTTGATTTGAAACTGTCTCATTGTTATTTGTTTCTCAGTAAAATTATGGAGGAAAAAAACCAAAACCAATTAGTAGGACAATTTCAATAATTAATACATTGCATATTGTTGTCTTCGTAGTGGTCATTCATAGTACAAGATGCAGACATGATATCCTGTCCATAAACACTATGAGAACAAATCTTTCTATTCACTGAATTAAGAGAAAGTAGCTGTATATCTATCCTATTTTAAATATACGGTACAAAATGGTTCTTCATTTGTCAGATACAAAAGTTACATTTCTTGTTATATAGGTCTTGCTTTATCTTGGTCTTAACCATCCAGCAGAAAAGTATAAAAACAGAGTATAAAAAGTAAAGCTGGGGCCAGGGAGGTGGCTCAGCAGAGTAAGCACTTCCCTGGCAAGCGCGAGGGTGTGAGTTCAATCCCTGGTTCCGCAAAAAAAAAAAAAAAAAAAAAAAAAAAAAAGAAAAAACCCAAAAAAGTAAAGCCATATTAATATGCTGAGCTGTAAAAGGCTCAAGTAGCAACTTCTGACACTGCCAGTCCTACGGAAAACCCACTACTCTTATGGACTTCTGGACTATATTGGAATATTTTGCTGGATTCATGCACGGGCAATATTTAAATGACAAGCACGTTCACTTGTAACAGTGAAACAGTAGCACAACCCACAGTCCACCTGTGGGCGGACAGTGTGGACATTGTGGCATCACCACGAAATGATGTACTACCGAACAGTGGAAAATAGTGAGCTGCTGAATCACGCACCAACACTGGGCCATCGTAATTATGTTGGTTATGATTTTTCTGCCTGGTGGATGTGTTCATTGAGAAGCAGCCAGACCAATACAAAGTCCATGCTGTGTGATTAATGGAGGATCTATTCTTACAGGGCCTGTAGAAAATGTAAGGTAGTCTACAGTGAGAACAAGAGATGGGTGCTTCCTGGGGGTGGGGTGACGAGGACCGGCGACGCCCAGAGCCTGGCACCCATGAGCTTCCGGGATGATGGTAGGCTCACGGTCTTGCCTGAAGTGTTGCTCTCAGCCAAAATAGAAGCTGTGCATTTGAAATACACGCAGTTTCCAGGAGTTCTGCTCATTAAAGAATAAATCAGAGAACAAAAATTAGTTTGTGTGTTAACAAACTGCGCCTCTGTGTCCCTTGCCTTGCGTTTCAGGATGGACTGCCGTTCTGGGTGCCATGTGGTTGCTAGTTCTAGCTGATGTCCATGATTTTGAGATAATTCTACACAGAGTGGAGTGGGCGACCCTCCTGTTCTTTGCATCACTCTTTGTTTTGATGGAGGTAAGATTTTACTTTTACTTTTACAGTCACCTTTTATCTGGTTTTTACATTTCATGTTTTATTTGGTGAATGAAGAAAGCCTAAATCTGTAAATCTCTCTGTATATTCACTAAGTAGAAAATAATGGGGGTTGTGATTGGGCTGTATTATGTTAGGCAACTTTTAGTTCAGCCACCTGAATAGTTCTGATGAAGCTGTTTATTTGATGACTGCATTTTTCTTGCTTTATCTTTGTGGCTTATAGATTTGTTCTAATTTCACTTTGAAGTGTGGATGTGCTGATTATCCTGATTTGCACACCACACGTTGCACCTGTGCATCCAGTTGTCATACTGTCCCCTACTAAAATTGTTATATGTCAAGAAAAGGGAGAGTTTTCTCAGAGTTGGGTCTGCAGGAAATGACTTGCTTCAGCAGTTCGCAGAATAATGTTACCTTGATAACTTACTTCACTCTATGTGACACTCTGAGTGCTCCTGGGGGGCCAGTGAGACAGCACGGCAGGCCAAGCGCCTGCTTCGGCAAGTGCGGGGACCGACCAGGGTTCGATCCCTGGTCCCACATGCTGTGCTGGCCCAGCCCACAGGGCGCACTGAGCCAGCAACCAAGTCCGGGCGTGGTGGGGCACACCTGTAATCCCAGCACTGGGGAGGCTGAAAACAGGAGGGTCACTGCAAGTCCGAGCTGCGTAGTGAGCCCCTGTACCAAATACATAAAAATGAACAACAGCAACAACAAAGTGAATGTGCCTGGGTGTCGTGGACAACCCTATACCACGGTGGCATGAACAATGGGCACTGTTTCCGTCACACTTTGCCACCACAGATCCACGTGCAGCCCTGTTGTTATTATAGAAGTTGTTTACATCTTGCACAGTGTAGCTTTCTGCACACTTTTATTTTCAATCTACATGTTCTGTTCTTTTTAAAAATTTTTATTCACCTTGATGAGAAAAAAAGATAAAATAGCGATCAAACAGTTTCAAAACAGGTTAGTAGGACAGTTACGATAATACATTGCACATTGTTGTCTTCATAGTGGTTCAGAGTACAAGATGCAGATGTGCTATCTTGTCTAAACAATATCAGTACAAACCTTTCTTCTCATTAAACTGAGAGAAAGTAGCTGTGTATCTATTCTAACTGTCACTAGCGCATATATATGCACTCTACTCTTGGAACTTCACTAGAAGCCTGCCCCTTGCTCACACAAGGATTGGCTGACAGAAGCGCTCCACCTCTGAGCTCACCTCCCAGGCCCTGCTTCTTCGCATTGCCGAGTATTGTGACTTCATTTTCATTCAGCTAAAATTGCTTCCTAATTTTCTATGTGATTTCTTTCTTTGTTCATGGGTTGTTTAAGGTTTCAAATATGTGAGTGTTGTCTGCTTGCTTCTGTCTCTCATTTGTAACTTGCTTCCGTGTGCTCACAGGGCGTGTATTGCATCGCTTCAGTTCTTTTAATTCTGAGACTTCTTTTACGGTCACTCCAGTATTGAGTCTGTTTGCTTGTTCGTGTAGCGTATGTGTGTCCTGTTGTTGTGTGCTGAAGCATTGTGCAGGTCCTGTGTGCTGCTCTAGCTAGTGTACGTAAGTCTCCCGTGCCTCGCTGGTGCTCGGCTTGTTTTACCCGGTACCGACGGCGAGGAACCGCAATCCCCAGCTACGTTAGAGTTGAGCTGCGCAGGCTTCCTACAGACAGAGTTGAGCTGCGCAGGCTTCCTACAGACAGAGTTGAGCTGCGCAGGCTTCCTACAGACAGAGTTGAGCTGCGCAGGCTTCCTACAGACAG